CCCCCCCCCCCCCCCCCAAAAAAAAAAAAAAAAAAAAAAACTTTCCTCCAAATTGACTGGCCCTTTGGAATACAGAGTTGTGACGCCCAACCTCACGCCCAGCGCGACTTCCTGATCGGAGTGGGATGTGGCCCAGGAAGTGCGAAAAGGGGTGTGCCAAGGATTTTTTGGGAAAGTGGGGGTGGAGTCCCAGGTCGGAACTGAGATCTCTTGTGGCAAAGTTTAGGGGCATAGATGCAATAGGGCTAAGGGGGCGAGTTACTTCCAGTTAGATGTTGTTCGATGTCGTGTAGCATAAGGCAGATGCCATGCGTGGTGCATTCAAGGTCGTGCGGTTCATCTGTTTTGGTGGCGGCGGTTCGGGGATAGGCCCGCCCGGGATAGTCTCGTTCTCGATGAGTCAGACCTTTGGGTGCAGACACATGGCGTCTGTCGTCGCACGTTTTGGTTAGGCCCCCTAGTTTCAGGGGCTCGTCGATTGCCGCGTCGCCGACAATTCCCACAAGGCGTGCGGGGCCAGTACGGGGCGATGGAGTTCCATGGAACCACTGTGAGTTGGTGATATGGGAGGAGGAGACGGAAGGGAGGAAAATTAGTAGTGATAATGACGAAACCGGGGCAAATGAAGTAGTGCGAGTTATCCATAGTTGGATAATCGGGGCACCTCGGATCGCTGGTTACGGCACAGTGAAACTCCCTGGGGCACAATCGATTCTCGGTTAAGCAGGGGAATTCCGAATATCTTTGCCTAATGCATTCCCTCACCCAAGGGTCAAAGTACTCCGAGTCCCAGGAGCTCGGCATCTTATCATTGCGGTGTAATATAATTTTTCCACATGCGTCTAATCGGCAAGGGGATGTTCCATCGTGATATCGGAATTCCTTTCCGTTTAGGTGCGAGGGGGAAGGACAATTCCCGTTTGCCCGAAGGCGTCAAGTTCGTCGATGGTCGCAAATCGGCATGCGTGGATACATGTAAGCTGCGAAGATCAGATCGCGCTTACACGCAACCCCGCGAGGTATTCGCTTGTTTTTGGACAAACAACTACCTAATAATTTAATCACTCCGTGATCCTGCGCGCAATCATTCCTGCGCATACAAGGTGCTACTACACATCAGACAACAGTAGATCAAAGAAAACAAACAGCCATAGTGACGACCACGCGGAAGTTCCTACTATGCTCACAAGGGTATCAAAATGGCAAGCGAAGGCACGGACAGACAAAGGAAAAGCAAACCGACATAGCATTCATTCATCCATTCATTCGACATAACACGCGATAAACGAGATCGAGACCAATCGCTAAAATGAGTGTGGGCGGAAACCAAGCCAAGATTCCGAAAACAAAAGAGAACGGGTGAATCGCCCTGAGCCGAGATCAAAATTTATATACAAAAGCAAGGAGGGAGACAAGACAAGGAAAATTGCAAACCATGTTTATCAACCTCAACTCCCTCTTCTTCTTTCTTCCTCTCCGATGCGGACAGTCCGTCTTCACGCACCAACCCACGAAGTCGTCACCCCGCTTAGTCCTCCCGCACCCGTCAGATTCGCCCGCCCCCACAGTCCGTCGTGGCCCACGTCAACCCCCCGCATTCGGTACCAGCTCGTCGGTTCGCCCGACTTCCACTTCAACTCACCTCTTACTTCGCTCACGAGCCGATCATCACTGATCGCGCTCCCCGAGCTTCCAACAACTGGTTAAGAGAGCTATCTAATCGTGCAACCGAAATTTATAGCGTGCATGCATGCGCGAAGAACACAGAATTGCAAGGACTTAGAAAGGTGATTGGGAGAGGGAGCGCCTGCGTTCTGCATGGCCAGATCGCGGTGTGGGGGACGTAGCCACTCTCCGCGCATCGATCCGAGCATGTAGGCCGCGGGCTAACTAGGCACAGTAAAAAGGAAAAGAGAGAGCGGGAAAAACGAAGCTCAAGAAGAAAGATACAGTTACAATGGCGCCCGCCCAAAATTACAGTTACTTGCAAGATTAAGGGCACCGACTAATCAGAGCTCCACTGCAGTTGCAAAAATAACCGCGCAAGAAGGACGACGCGTGGCAAAAGAAATCCCGAATTCCTAAGTTCTTAAATTCCTAGCTAATGCAAAAAGAAGCACAAATTCCGAAAAGAAAATCCGAAGTTCCGAGACCCGTCAAGGGCTCGACAAGATTCGAAAAAGAATTTCAAAAAGAACGAAATAAAATTCCCACGTGACCTCCGCGCCTAAATCCGACAAAAGCACAGAAAATAACCGACGTCAACCATTATTAATCGCGTCTGGTCGGCGCGGCAACCACTCAATCGATCATCTCGAGGTTTGCCCGGGCCTGAATCCAGCCATCCGAAAAGAAGCGGCGAAAGAGAAAAGACGAAAAAACGAGGACACTGATGCAATTCTCCCTCAATCCCGATCCCCCGTAATTGGCCCAACCTTCCAATTTAGGACCCCTCATTGTTATTGCGCAGAAAGTCTGCGCGGAACAGAAATCGGTTCGTCACATATGTGATGCCCAGGGGGTTCCAATCTTAAGCAAGCTCCTGCTTGCTTGAATCATGACACGTGTCGATTTTTCTAATTGATCGACACGCGGAGCTTTTCGTTGCCACTTACCGTACGAAAAGAGTGTGGACGTCATCCAGTGTGGCATACGTGGCTCTATTCTACGAATTCCTCAGGAAGGGGCTCTTTTCATTCCAAGGAGGGGATCTTTCGTGCCATCGCTGTGGCACATACTAATCAACCATGCATCAATGTCCTAAGGGAAGGGGAAAGGGAAGACGATACATGGGGGCATGGTGAGGGGGTGGGTTAGTCGGGAGTGGGGGTAAGAAGTGTTCCAACCCCACGACTGTCTCCGAAAGCTCCTGATATCGGACGATCCGGTGGAAGCGAGGGAATTGATTACCACTATGAGGGAGGGAGGCGAGATAGTCAGGGTTGAGGGTGGCGAAGGTTCGGAAGAGTGCCACGCGGAATCGATCGTGGTTCTCACATGCGGGGATAGTCCCCATGATCATGCAATAAACCTCGACGATATTGTGGCCTCGCCACGCGGCACTGAAGAGGAGGGCATGAAGACAGAAGTCGGGGAGGGCACATCGGGTTGAGGGGTGGGGGTGAACAATGACAACAAGGCGGGTGGCATCGAAAAATCGGAAGGTATCAATCGGGAAGGGATTACGGGGTAAGGTGACGCGGGTGGTGATCTGGCAGAGGGTGAAGTGATATAGGGGACGACGCGATAAGGACCGAGGACAAAGCCCGATGGCCCACATCGGTACGGGCTCGAACTGGTGGATGGTCAGCGGTGGAGGAGGAGGGGGATCGGCTTCGTCGCCGCCTGGCCAGTGCGCTCAAAGTCTCGGCAGTTGGGTCCCCATCTTCGGGCTTGGGCGGCTCCGGAGCTTTGGTTGGATCGTCGGCGATAGGCAAATTTGCTCCTCTTGCGAATTCCAGTTGTCGCTTTCCTGCCGCAATCTCTTCTCGTTTACGAGCCGCCTCGGGGTCCTCCACCTGAACGTCCATATGTTCTGCCTCTTCTGCTGAGATCTCCCACTCGGATTCTTCCAGCTCCAGGTCCTCTTCTTCCTCTTCTTCTTCTTCGTCTTCCTCAGTCTGCTCCCCCTCGCTGTGTTCGCTATAACTGCCTTCCTTAGGTGTTTCTTCTTCTTTGTCGTCCTCCTCGGCGCCTTTTTCTTCTTCCTCTTCTTCTTCTATCGCTAGCTCCTCGTCTTCGGAGGCTGTTCGAGGCTGGAAGAAGGCGATGTCGATTACCTCCCACGGGTTCAGGTATCCCCGTTGCGATGGCGGGTTGTTGTTGCTTCGCGGCTCCTCGAGGCAGGCTGACCACTGGAGGTAAGCTGTCAGAGTTCGTGTAAGGACGTGTGGGACTGGGCTTTCGTCACACTGTGAGACGATATCAAGAGGGAGATCGTCGACCAGCTGCGCGAGAGGGATCGTGAGTTCTTGCACGATTATCTGTCGATGGCCGGGCCGCACTAATCCGAACAAAAATTTGAGGTCTCCCTCCACTTCCGTCCTCCAAGCTTGTATGATGAGCAGCTCCAGCTACTCGATCCAAGCACGGTGTTCCTCGTCCCTTGTCCACGTGAGTCACACCCCGACCAGGCACACTGAAAGATCGATGAAATGTTCGCGCCTTAGCTCCCACTGCCTATGATCCAGGAGGGGAACGGCGAGCGGCTCCAGACAGAAGGAGAAGCGAGGGTGAAGACTAGACTGCCAAAAGGTAGGGAAGAGAGATGGGAGGGCGAAGGTGAAGAGTTGGAAGCAGTTCATTGGGGGCGTTGAGAGGGGATGACCTCCGGGAGCACCACCACCGGCTCGTGATGGGACGTTCGGATACCACCGACCTCGATGTCGTCTGTGGGGACAAGATTGTTTCCGTGGCGAGAAAGCGAGTGACTCCACTCCGTCGCCAACTGCTGACCCCACTCCCTTAGTGACGTCCGGATCGCGGTATGTCGCAGCGGGCTGATCGCGCTGATATCGTCGCTGAAGGAGACGATGGTAGACACGTGGCTAACCCCAGGGGCTAACAACCGATGAACAACTACCGCTTCCGCCAACACAACCGCCTGACGATTGCTCGTAAATCGGAACTCTGTTGCCGCATATACCCCTGTGGTACAGAAGAACTGCGCAAGCCATAGAAGATCCAGACTGAAGCGCGGATGATGAACTTGTCGGATTGCCTAGATGTAACGACATGGCGCCAACAGGTGATCACCGAGGGCTCGCTCAGTGAGAAAACTCATGGCGATGGTGAGGAGGTATGAGAGGGGGTGGGAGATGTAGGAGGAGACGAAGGCGATGGAGAATCGTCGTCTTTTTGTGAAGCGAAGGAGGAAGAAGACGCTGCTGGAGATGGGGAGGAAGGGAGGGGACGTAGATAGGACATGTCGCGTACGATCGGCCGAGCCGATCGACTCCCTGAGAACTCTGGCACGAGGCGCACCGTGTTCTCCCCGTTCGGGCCGAGCTCGTCACGAGAAATCGCCTGAAGAATCGTGGCGCTATCTTCCCTTGGCGAACCTATTTCCTCACCTGCACCAAGTCCCCTAATTTATACTGGGGCCGCGGACCCGCGTTCCCGTTCCGGGCCTCGTAACTGCGAACCTGTCGGTCGTGGGCCAGTGTCCTGGTGCATCCCTAAGAACCGATTGACGTAGCGCGCAACTTCGGCTGCTTGTCGCGTTCGGCACGAATACGCCTCGATCCATTTCGAAAAATGGTCCACGAACACCAATAGGATTGAATACTCGCCGCTATTAGGTCCAGGGGGCACCACTATATCGGTAGTATTCATGCTAACCCTTTGAAACGGCCGTTCAACTACCGTCGGTACTATCGATCGTGGCGGCTAAATCGGCGCCTTGTCAGCAGCGCAGACTTGACAGTTCGCGACGATGAACTTCACGTCGTCACGAATATTGGACCAATACCATTTGTTCTTATCGATTGCCGCTTCTGTGATCCGTACGGCAAAATGGGCTGCAATTTCCTCATGCGCCGTCTTAACCCAGTCATACCTTATAAACGGGTGCGGCACTACCATCCAAATCCCGCTACCATCCGTCTTCCGTTTTTCTAATTGGCCCTCGTTCCATCGATAATCCCGAGCTGTTTCGTTGGCCCTCCTCTGATCCTCCTTAGTGAAGTCCTGGAGGGGTTTTCCTACCAAAGTGGCAATTAGAGCGATGTTCATCCATACCTCGGCTCTTCTAAACTTCCGGGTCTTTTCCAACCCTTTAGACGTGGCATCAAGAAATCGAGTTTCCGTCGGGATCTTATCAGTCTGACACAAGGGACACAACCACGCCTTATCTTCGTCTCTGTACTAGATGCACGAGCCATGGGCTCGTGCGACGCACTGTCGACAATCTGCCCATTCGGCATACCCTTCTCCACTAGGACGCACTGAGATCGAGTAGACGCGCGAAATCGCTTCGCAAAAATAACAAAATTTGTCGGGCAGGGAGATAACAGATGAAGGGGAGAGGGGAAAGAGAAGAGTTGTAGGATTACCTCCGTCACCCATTGCCAATCACCTGCTTCTTGCCACGTGGAAGGACTGCCACTTGTCCGTACTTGGGTCCGTTTGCTGAGTCTGGTTCCTTCCACGGAATGATTTCTTCCCCCTTTGGTACCTTAGCGGGGCGATGCAAACGTGTCAACCCGTCCGCGTTGTCGTGCCTCTCTGTCTTTCGGTGGATGATGTCGAAGTCATATTCCTGTAGGCGCACAGCCCATCGTCCAATCATACCCGTGTAATTGGTGAGTTTCTAGAGAGCCAATAATGGCTCGTGATCGGTTACAAGGAGGAACTTTTGTCCGTACAAGTACGAATGGAAGTGCTGAATTCCCCAAACAGCATAACATTCACCTTGTGGGGCTGAGTCGTTCCTTCGTTCGTCTGGCACCGTACGAGACGCGTACTCGATGACGTGCTCGAGACCGTCACTCCCTTTCTGCGCTAAGATAGCAGAAATAGCCTCCTACTGCCAATCCGTGATGAGAATGAACTGCTTCGTAGGGTCCAGCCGGATCAAAATAGGTGCCGTCACCAGAGCGCCCTTGAGGGTGGCGAAGGTCTGTTCGCACTCTGCGTCCCAACTGAGGGGCTGGTCCTTTCGCAGCAGATTCGTCAGAGGTCGTGCAATCGCAGCGAAGCCCTTAATAAAACGACGGTAATACGATACCAGTCCCAGGAAAGCTCGAACCTGCGTCACTGACGTAGAGACAGGAGCATCTTTCACCGCCGCGACTTTCCTTAAATGTGGCCGCAGTCCTCCACGTGTCACCACGTAACCTAAGAACGAGATTTCCAAAAGGAAAAACTTGTTCTTCTCAAACGCGATTTTGAACCCGGCGTCTCTTAGAGCTCCCAGCGTCCACTCGATGTGCTGTGCATGCCCGTGATAGGTCTCCGAGTAGACGAGGATGTCATCCATGTACACGATGACGCAAAAGTTAATCATCCCTTGAGTGAGCCGCGTCTTGTTGACGAAGTTGTGAAACGTCACGTTCATCGTCCGCTGAAGCGTGTCAGGCGCGTTGCAAATACCCATCGGACATCGGATCCACTACCACGTGCCCTCAAACAATACAAAGGTCGTCTTCAGTCAATCTTCCTCCTTAACCAGAATGTGATGAAAACCGTGCCGAATATCAAACTTACTGAAGTAATTAGCACATCCAATCACATCCAGCAAATCATCAATCCGGGGAATACACATCTTTAATCGTGATGTCATTCAACTTGCGATAATCAATGCATATGCGAATCTATCCATTCTTTTTCGGCACCAACACTACCGGAAATGACCATGGCCCAGTGGCGGGTTCGATCCACCCATTAGCTTCAAATTCTCGAATCCGCTCGAGGGCCGTTTTTCGTTCTGCCAACGAATATCTATAGGGCTTGTAGTGAATCGGGGGATGGTTTCCGATCTGGATTTCGTGTTGTATGACCAACGACAGTCCGATGTCGGTGTCTGTCACACTAATCGCTCCCTTGTACTCTTTTAGAATGTCCGCGATCAGGTGGTGGATCTCATTAGGTACGTATCGGGGTACGTGCAACTCATACAACTCATCCCATATCCGTACGTCGATGTGTTTCGTACTCACCTGTTTAGCGCTTTCGGATGGAGGCGCAAAAATAAACGAGTTGTCCGACTGCCAGGAGAATACCGTGACCATCATCTGTGCATCTTGTTCTCGAATGGCCACGTGTTCTTCCGGGGTTATCCCGTCTTGAATGTCTTGCCACGACACAGGTTTCGTTGCGATCCTGATTCCGAGTTCGGTTTCAACGCGCTCAGGGGGTTCCAAAGAATTGGTCTCCGCCCCTAAGCGTAGTAATCTTATCTTTTTTGCAGGTGTCAAAAGAGATCGCGGAAGATTCATGGTGTCGCAATAATGTTTTTCGTCCTCATATCGTGCAAGCAGAGGCGAGATTTCTTCATACAGGGTTCGAGGGGGTTCCAAAAAATCGACCATCCTCGAAATCTGTACGAGAGGTTCTCCCATAATCATTACCTACGTTCTCTGTAGACCCCGATTAGTCTGGATCAAGGTTTTTGCGTTTGTTCGTTGTGCGGGATAATGGATACGTTGCTGCGCCATTTCCAGGATTAATGGGTCATCATCATCACTGTTGTCTGCGTCTTTGGATGTCTGTCCGTTGTCCCAGGTAATCATGCGAAAGGTCACCGTCATCATGGGAGAAACTTGCGGGGTTACGTTAGAGGTAGTACGAAGGGTCAGCCTCATTGGAACGACATAGGGCTTCCCTCCCATATTTCGAAGGACAATCGATCGTCTTTCAAAATCCAGATTGGCTCGTAAGGCCACAAGAGCGGGAAGGCCGAAAAGGACGTCGTACGTGTTTACGTCTAAGACTACGACATCCCCCAAAACATGTACCTTCCCTAATCGAAAAGCAACATTAGTCATTTGTCCCACCGTTTTGATCTTCTCCTCATCTGCTGACACGAGCTGATCTTTTTCTGTAAGCATGATTAGATCGTTCTTTTTACCTGCTTTTTCAACTACCCGTAACGAGATAGCCAAAACAGCGGCTCCGGAGTCGATAATGGCATTGTACGAGATTCCCCATATCTCAATATCACATTCGACGGCTTTCCATGGGATTGGTTTAATCTGTAGGAAGTGATCATCTTTATGGATTAATCCTAATCGTATCGGGTCTGAAGTTCCTGCTGCATTTTCATCTGGCGTGGGATTTTTCTTTTTTGTGCTTGTTGTTCGGGCAAGGGCGAATCGTTTTCGATTTGCCTTGCAGTGTTGCAATATTCGTTCGTTAGCTTGTTCTGATATCGAGAGTAGGTGACCGATCGGAAGAGGAATCCGACGGTGCAAGGCTCGAACGATGTTTAGAACATCTATCTCCCCTGTGACAAAAGTGGGTCCTCCCGACTCCATTTCTCTTGGAGAAGGTCGTCATTCCGCCACTTCTCTTTGTTCTAGCGCGGGTCTAATCGTTCCAATCATCCCAAGTCCTGGGTAGTCAAGTGTTACGTACTGATCCAACGGGATTAGTCTGGCAGCTTCTTCCATGGTAGCCAATGTGCTTCCGCCTCCATCCATTTCTTCCATCAATGCCCCCACTCGTCCGGGTCCGTTGGCAATCGGCAGCGTTGTCACGCGGGGATCCCCGGGGCCCAAGCCAAGGTAGGGGTTTCACCCCCGGAACCCCGCCACGGGGCTACCCGACCCCC